AGCCACAGCTCTAATTCTCTGTTGAGATTCATGTGCCGAACAGTGAAATTACCTTGTAATGTGTGTTATGTATTCAAACTGCTTTCTGGTTAGCTGAGCTGAACTAACTGAAGTGCTCATAGAGCATCTCATTAATTTTAATAAGCTATTATTGTCACTGCTACATTCTGTGGGATTCTATGCACCAGGGGAAAATAGCTGCAAATGTGATCAATAAACTAGCAAGGTAGAAGAACATTACTCAGCTTATGGTTGCTAGAAGTGTCTGGAGAGCAACATCATCATGATACAAAACTGTTCAAAAACTCTTTGGCCTGGTTCATCATGTATTACTCTGAATGTCTGGTTTTCAGCAATAAAATGAATCATATACAGTCAGCTGTTTGCTTGGAAGGACTGTCTACATGTTGACTATGCCAGGGCAGTCCCCACCCTCTTTGCAAAATGACGGGTTTCCCTGACAGGTACAGTCAGTCTGAATCATATGGGTAGCCCTTAATACAAAAACAGCCTGGAAACACAATTAGATTCTCACACCCTCTGACACTCTAATGGCAATCAAACTGCCAGGATAATTTAATGGGTTCTTCTCACATGCAGGCCTGTCCCTTGACTGTCACATCAAGCGATGACTTGGTTGTGTGAACTGGCCATGATAACTGTAGCACCACAGATAAGAACATCACTAAAATGCAATGCTTTTCAACAGAGTTGATCTTTGCACTCTGCAAACATCCCTAAAAGGCTGGTTCACATGTCACACTGAAAGGCAGGTATATTCTGTCCCCACTCATGTACAGGTGTTTGTGTGGAAAAAATGTACACTTGCTGATGTGTGCAGCTCAGCTCTTGTATGCATAGGTTCGCAGAGTGTACACTCATAGTGAATAACTGCATGATAGTAAATAACTGCATAGTGAATAACAGCTCAACTATTTATACAGTAAATACAGATGGTGCATTCACTGAATGTAATATGTGAACAAATATGCAGCCTTCAAGTGTAGAAATATGAAGTGATGTGCATGTGTGAACAGGTCCCAATATGTCCCTCTTGTTAATGAGGCAGCACAGGTAAAAGCTAAGTTCTTATGCAGAGATCGCAGAGTATTTTATTATGTTAGGTACATAACAGCCCATTATGTAGAACTGATATATTACCTGTAGGTAGGGATGGAAAGCTGAGTCTGTTTTCTCAGGGGGGTTTTCTCCCAATCTTGAATTCAGTTTTCCGCATTTTGTGATTTATTTTCTTTGATCCTCATGAAAACTCACCAAGATTTTTGTGCCTGTTTCGCCTAATGCACATACATATGCAGTTTTGACTAATTTACACATTTTTGTAAGTAGATTCCCCTCATATAATGCATTTTCATATGCACATATTCCCCTAATTTATCCATGTTTATATACATTGGTTGATTGGTGAACTGCACAGCAAAATCCACATAAGTGCGAATTTGGAGAAATTGCTTTGTTTGGATTCACATAGTTTCAGAAAGTGTGACTCTTGTACATTTGGCTTTAAATGAGACTTGAATTTCTCCTCCATCCCTACTATAGGGCATGCGTGGATTCCTGTCACAGATTTACTAGCTGTAATGTGATAAGGAACTGTCTTATATTTTGGTCACATGGCAAAGTGTTAGTAAGACATTCTGGGGTATCCGGTTATTTGTCATAATTTCTTAATCTTCTTAAACTTTTCAATTCTCAGAATCAGAATTGGTGGAGGAGGAAAAGTATATTACTGGAGCTCTAGTGTGTATAAGATGGGAGCTGAAAGAGATTGTGAAACCTGGTGCAATTATCTGTATATATGTGTCACAAGAAATGTGAGGTTGGTGATCAACCAGTTGCTGCGGTCAACAAGAATACTAGCTCAATAAAGCTACTTGTTGCCATTGCCTGATGGTAACCTGGAAAGAATAGCAAAAAAATGCTATAGATAAGCAAGCAAGAAAGTTAATAGGTTAAAATGATGCCCATGTTTCTGTTTTACACCTCTGAGTTACAAGCTCTGTTTTAAGGTATACTTTAAAAAAAGGGAGGGGGGACTTTGTGTTCTCACAGTAGTCCCAAAGGAATCATTGTGCATGTTCAGGAAACTTACACATGACTTGTTACAATTGGCAGTCACAGCCATGGAGTGGCTTAGATCTGGAACAGCACCAAGTTGCAGTAGGGCTGCACCAGAATACATTTGCCGAGCTATGTGGGTGGACTGCTTGCCTTTACAACAGCTGGCTTTGCACAGTGGCAAGTCCCTATTCTTTTACAAGCACTGAGATTTATGCAGGTTAGGTGCCATGAGAGATTCCTATTGCAAAGTTATTTCCTCCTGAAACTGAAGGTCGGTCTTTGGAAATCATGGTAAAGAAATGACCTACATGTTTAAAAACCAACAGCCCTCCTGCAGGCATTCATTCAGAAAAATGAGACCTGTCATCAGAGTGAGGTGTGTTCCAGTCAAAGCCCATCCGAGTAGGGCTGTGCTCTGACATTTGCTCTTTGCCCAGGGACTGAAAACAAAGGACCTGGTGGGTTAGGACACAGTCAAAAACTAACCCTGACTGATTCCCTTTTAAATAGAAGCAACTGGGAATTGGAGGTCTAGTTTTCATTGGTGCTGTAACCATGGAATATTTGAGGAGATAGATATCTAACTTGGCACTGCTGTTTTGGGCACTTGTTCTGTGTTGACGATGGAAGGGAGAAGTGTAAGGACATGTCGACACAGCGCTTTATGATTCAGAGGGGCTGATTACTGACTGTGGTATTGTTGGCAACTGTTCCCTGCTGCCCCACAGCGGCTACTACAATGGCATATGTGGACATTAAAATGATTGTTCTGATTCCCAGGCCTACCTTGCAGCTAGTCAGTATGCCAAGTCCACATTCAAAATCAGAGGGTCGATCAGCACCAGCAAAGGCTGAAGGTCAGGAAATGAGGTTCAGGATCAATCCAAGTCTGAAGTCAGGATCACTGACGGAGGAAGGGTGGGTACAGTCCACCCTGGGTGTCATCCCTGAGGGGGGGTGACATCACCACGCTACTCCCCTGGGACACTTGGTTTGCCTCCTGGGACACTTGGTCTGTATGACTGGCCCCATAAACATGGAACTTACAGCAGCCTTTCTTAGGGGCAGGCAGACTTAAGGCTCAGCAGATCAGATTTGTTTTTTACCTGAACCACAAGATCCACGAACCCAGTTTGGTGCAAAAGTCATAGACTGAGGACTACGGAACTAGAGCCCAATAATTTGCTTTGAGTACCAGTGCTGGACTGAGAATAACTGAGAGGGAATAACTTGCTATGTGGAAATACAATGCACACTTTGTATATTATATGCCCACTTTGAAAACTGGAACTGTTGTGTTGCATGTTAAGTAATTACAATGTCCAGTAGGCGTTAGTGGCTGTTAGTTGTGGCAGTTAGTTGAAGCTTTTAAAACAATGTGATGAGATACCCAGGATTACAATGCAATCCCAATAAACCCCTCACCCCTTGCTTGTTTTGCTTTACTGAAAAGTTTATGGGCTGGACTGTCCACCATTTGCCAGGTTAAAAGGTGTTCCAGCACAACCAAATGTAACAGTTAGTGAGACCTATTGATATAACTGCATTGCTGATTGTTTTATGTTTTGATTATTGTATTTTAGATTAGGGTTTAATTTTGTTTTGAATGTTGTATTTTCAAATGTTGTTAGCCATATAAAGGGCAGGAAATATAACAACAACTTGTACAGCTCTAATAATAGACGAGTAAGGCAACATATTGAAAGTAACAGCATGTATCTTCCGTGAAATGATCTATAAGGAAATATTTGTTCATGGTACTTCTGTTTTGCATGATAAGCAACGATCAGGAGCTCCTAGATTATGTAGCAAAATCAAAACTGTGTGAACCATATTGTGTCACATTACACTGTAATTTTGCAATCCAGTAATTACAGGGTTGATTGTCGCTTGATGTTGCTTCAAACTGTGAAGTACTATATTTAACTGTTTAAAAAAGCAATCCCATAATTTTTCTTGTGCAGATTTGCTTATCCAAGATAAGTGGTGGTATTGGTTGAATGGCACCTAAGACTCAAGCAGGGAAGATGCTGTTTGTTAAGGGAGGGAGGAAAGTGGTGTTTTGGTGGTTATACTGGTTTTGTATTTTTCTACACAAATGCCACTATATTGCCTCTTATTATGATTAATGTAAACATAAATTATGTCATCATGCATGAAATATATATTTCTGTACCAAGTTAGGAGTGAGCCTTTAGACCAATGCGGATGTACAAAGAGGATTAGGAGTGGAGGTGTCTTCTGCAGATGAACAAGAGCAGAAACTATCACTATAGAACACAGTTTAGCACACTAAAAAGCGAACTGGATTTAATCTGGAGCTCATGCAGAGTCAGAATTAAATACACAAGAGCCCAAAGGTCAGCATTCTCTCCCTACAGTGGCCAACTACCATATACACCTTATGGGAACCACACCTTATGAAGCCCTCAAGGAGGATATGAACATAGGAGCACTCTCCTTCTATTGCTCCCCAACATTGCTGTTTGAATGTATTCTGCCTCTGATATTGGAGGTGATATATAGCCATTGTGACTAGCAGTCATGGTAAGCCTTATCCTCTGTGAGTTTGCCTAATCCATTTTTTAAGTCATCCGAGTTGGTGGCCATCACTGCATCTTGTGGTAGCAAATCCCTTGTCTCAACTATGAATGGTTTTTGCCAGTTCCCATTCTGAAAATGAGTGATGGGGAATTGAAAATAAATGGCTACGGTCCGCATCATGATATGCAGACACAATTGGAACCAGATCTGAAATATATATGTTCAGTAACTGAACAGCTTGATTGGCATATTACAAAGATCTGTGTCATGTTGCCCAAGAGTTCTGCATTTGTACTGGAACATAGAATCATAGCATTGTAAGGGACCACTAGGATCATCATTCTAGTCCAACCCCCTGCAATGCAGGAATATTTTGCCCAACATGGGCCTTGAACCCTTGACCCTGAGATTAAGAGTCTCGTGTTCTGCCAACTGAGCTATCCTATATTTGATGTAATGACAATGATTTATATAACATTCCAAACTTTTCCAAGTGCTTCATATATATTATCTCAGTATTTCTGACAACACTCTTGTAAGGAAAGTCATTTTTTATTCTCTAAATTTTGGGGACTGAGGACATGGCTTGCCTAAGACAATCTCGTGGATTCATGGTAGAGGTGAGATTTGTACTATACTACAATAGCTTTGCATGTGGAGTGATAGTCTTCTGCCATTCAAGATGCTGTCCAAAACACTCTTGCATAGGAACAGATATCGCAGAATGCAGTGGAAACTATTTCCAAATAAATGTCCTTAGGTTTGAGATGAAGCATAGGCATTGTTCCCCATTTTGCATGGTTTCCCCTTCAAAATAGTTCATCTAGTCATCATACCATTCTTTGATTCTATGATTTAGCAAAGTTGTGTAAATAAACTTATAGAGGTTAAGCTTTCGCTAATATTTATGCCAACATTTTAACTTGATCATAGCCTAAACAGTTTTAAAATGGGAGATTTTATAGTTATTAGTAGCGTGCATGTATTCTAAGGAGCTTCCAGTACAATAACTTACATTTTGTTCTTTACTTGCTTTATCATATTTGTTTAGTCTGAAGATCACTTGCATATTTTCAGCAAGTTCTTGGCTTGAATTTGCATTGAATTGTCAAAAATACACTAGTGTTCATGAGTACATCTTTTCCTTCAGGCATGTGGAGATGGCAGATTTAAAGAATTGGTTTCTGCTGGATTGCTGTTATATGATCGCCATTGGTTTTATGGTTTTTATGTTATATTTGCTGTATTGTATTTTCATGAAATGTTACATGCCGTCCTAAGAGCCTCCAGGCAGAAAGGCAGGTTATAAATACAAATAACAACAACATTCTTCGTTGACAGTTTAGAGCAGGAAAATATAATTGATAAGTAACAATTTGTACTGGAACTCATGAACTCTCCCCCTCTTCAATTTATAGAATTATTTTCTAGTGCTCTTGCAAGTGTACTCATTGATAGTTTTGTCCTTGCCAAGAACCATGTATTGATTTCGAAAGGTGACAATGAAGTCATATATCTGTAACTTTTTTTGTTGACTCGTTCCCAATTAACTGCTGCCAGCCTGGCAATTTATCAAGAAAATTCAGGAATCCATTAGGTGAATCATGCTGCACCATTTGGTAGCAACTGATTTATAAACTATATTGGTTGCAATCCGGGGGGGGGGGGGGATAGACATGCCTCAAGTCTCGTTGAAACATAAGCGCACAAATCTGCCAACGCATCAAATCTTACGAGATATTTTGGCACCAACCACACACACACACACACACACACACGTACATATTCACACATATCATACTAGTATTTATTATTTCTTTGCAATCCCATTTTTATTCTTGTTGGCGCATATGGTTGTAATTATTCCTTTCTGTTGCTTGGACAGGCCACAGTGGGTGGGTGGGTGAGAGAGTATGTGGGTGGGTGGGTGGGTGGAGACTCCCTATGCAAAGTCATCATTCTATGCAGTAAGCCATTCTAAGCATGAGGCTTACCCATGGCCAGTATAATATGTGCCCAAGTCCTTAGAAAAACAGTCTTGAGCAGCATTTGGATGAGTGGTCTGTCAATCTCAAAATATATAATCACCAGGAAAAAACTAAGTTGCTGGGCACCACCCAGTCAAGGATTAAGTACACTACATCCCAGAGATTTCAGGGTTGGAGATAAGAATGTGCTTGGATCTGTCTAACTGAAATAAATGAGACTTAATGTAGGGAAAGCCAGGCCCGAAATTCATTGTAGATGATATCTTGTTCCCAGAAGTATTAAGTCTTTTGTGACAGCTCAGGATGAAGGCTTAATTAGAAAACTGAAGCCAGCTACAACCTTTTCTCATTTGTGAGAATGCCCAAAAATGATGGTCAGTGGTCTGAAAAGAAATTAGCAGACAGTATTACTGGCACCGATGCCCTTGAAATGTTTTCAAATAAGACTTGCAATTATCCACTGCTTTTTCTTTTGCATAAAAATGATCTTGACATTTCTCACAGCACAAAAATTAGCTTGACTCTAAAATTGCCATCATAGGAAAAAGGACCTAATTTTACTTTTATTCATCATTCATCTTTGGGGGTTTTCCATTAGGTTGTGTGTGTGTGAGAGAGAGAGAGAGAAGAAAAATTGGTTTAGTGCAGTGGGTTGGACATTTCTCCCGCAAGCTGAAATCTCCACTTAAAAACCCTTTAGATTCCTTTCTGCCACTTCCTACTTGCCTATAATTTGAATGTCTTTTTTGTTTGTTGCAGACAGTGAATTAGTGGTGTTCATTACAGGTCATTGTTGTGTAGAATGATCTATGAGCCAAATATCTGCGTAAGACTTTTGGAGAAAACTAATTCCAGCCGGTGGAATACCAGTGCTACCCACGAATGATAGCTTTAAACTCTCTGGCTTACACTGCAGCTACTTTAGGTATTTCTTTCCTTGTTTCCCTCCCCCCCTTCCCTGCACAAAAGGTCACAGCTGCCTTAAGGCAAACAGCACCTTCAGAATTAAGATAGATTGACTTTACTAGCAGAAAGCCAGCACTTGAAACACAGCCAAGACCTAGGTAATGGGTTTGCTATGGAAGAAGATGCTAAACTGGCAAGAATCAATTGGACTGGAACCATCTGCAAACCCTGTACAATTTTCTCCTGTTGCCACGGGCAGCAGACTCAGACAGGAAATCATGGTAGGATGGGAAAAGATCCAAAATACACACAAATAGTGTCAAGCTTTTAGTTAACAGAACCTGAGAGAACAGCATATGCAGTGCCACCAAATAAGCAACACAGAGCAGCACTGACTTGATTTTAGTAGAATTCATATTTTAGTCTCTTTATTTTAAAAGCATTAAAATTTTCCACACTCAGGCACTGCAATTTTAACTTAGGCTTTCATATATACGGGTCTTCATTTATAGCCGCTTTACCCTGTGACGCTACTGAGTCAGTTCACTTACCACTTGAACACCTGTGGTGAGTTAGAGATGGCAAAGGAACCAGTCTATATTATGTAAGAAGAATCATGTTAGATCAGACCTTAGCATATTGAGGTTCCATTTAGTTGCCATGACAAACGGCCACAGATAGACTACCCTACATACATTTTCAATCTCCTTTTAAAGACATCTAAGCTAGCGATCATCAACACATCCTGTGGTTCTGCATTCTGTCAGTTAATTGTGATTTTTTTTGAATAAGCGCTTTCTTGGGAAAGCCCTGTATCTACAGCCAATCAATTCAATTGAGCGCTGCAGAGTCACAACGTTACGAGAGAGGGATAACTTTTCTTTTTTGATCTGTCTGCTATCTCCACACTGTGCAATTTTATAAACCTTGGTCATCATTTTTTTTACTTCTAAACCAAAAAGATGTTTTAATCCTTGCTTTGTTTTACAGGCAGTGTGCTTTACCCTTTGATCACATTGATTGACTTTTCCTGCACTTTTTCCAGATTTGAGATGGGAGTATCAGAACCTCATGCAGTCTTCCAAATGTGCGCCATAGATATGATCAAAGTGCCCTGTGATACTGGATATCTTCTTATCAGTCCTGTTTCTGTGCCTAGCATGGAATTCACCTTTTTCACTGTCACCATACACTCATTTGCCATTTTGAGTATTACTGAGCCTAGGCTACACTGGATTAGTTCTCACTCTGTTCATAGCATAAAATGAAGATTGCAGTGTTTGGGTTTTTGTTTTGTTTTTTGCAACATACAAAGATCTGAGTGCATGGAAAGATCTGGGTGGAAGAGAATTATGGACTTGCTTGCTTGATAGAGTTCAATGTGTCCTCATGTGACTCTTTCCATTTAAAGTTGTAGCCTTGATCCTAGTAAAGAATCAAAATGAACTCCACTTTCATTTCTGCACATTGCTTTTCATGTTATGCACTTGGCTGTGCAGTGGGCAGCATCAATCCCTTACTCACAGCTGGAATATTAATACTCAAGGCAGGGAACTCTTCCCCAGGAACACAGTGCTCCCTAATCATTAAACTGCTACCTTTATGAATCATAGAATCATAGAATTGTAGAGTTGGAAGGGATCACAAGAGTCATCCAGTTCAACCCCCTGTAATGCAGGAATCTCAACTAGATCTCACATGACAGGTGGCCATCCAACCTCTGCTTGAAAACTTCAAGAAAGGAGAGTCCATCACCTCTCATTGACTCATGTTATGCTTGTGGTCTACTAAGACCCCTGATTCTCTTCACATGTACTACTGGCAAGCCAAGTGTCCCCCATCTTATGTTTGTGCAGCTGGTTTTTCCTGCATTTGTGTCGAACCTTGCATTTGTCCCTATTGAAATTCATTTCGTTAGTTTTGGCCCTGTTCTGTTAAGGTCATCTTTAATCCCATTTCTGTCTTTTGCGGCATTGGCTACTGAAATATACTCAAAGTCGCAAAGTGATTTCATGCTCTTTATTCAGCTCATAGTGGTGAGGAGGAATGAATGAAAGTCCCCTCAAAAGTATCTGCTTTATATACATTATTTATACAATGGGCTGCACATGATTGGCTAATTCTGGAATTCTACTGTAAGCCAATCAGGTTGTGGATTCACTTATATCTGGAGCATGATTGGGTGGTTCCTGCCAACCAATCATACTGCTGCATTGTTCTAGGACCAATCAGACTGCTGCATTCTGAATCCTATTGTTCTAGGACCAATCAGACTGCTGCAATTTGGATCCTATTGTTCTAGGACCAATCAGACTGCTGCAGTTTGGATCCTAGTCAACTCAGTACATAACAACTACCTCTCACCACTTGCTGTCATCTGCAGATATGATGAGCATACCCTCATCCAAGTTCTGTACAAAGATGCTGAACAACAACCAGCCCAGGATACAACACTGCAGCACCCCAGTTGTCACTTTTTCCCAGGATGACAAGTAACCATTAGTGAGCCAAACCCAAAATCAGTTCACTTGTTATGGCACGATTTGCAG